CAAACCAAAATATTGATGTTTGAGAGTTGTAATATTTTAAAATTTGGGCTCATGTTCAGCTTATGCTATCCCATTGTATATGTGATATGTAGGCATGGTGTCAACATAATTACATGAGCTTTTTATTGTCTTTGTTAATTTTTTTCTGCTAAATTTATATTTCATTCTAACCTTTATTTTAAATTTTGATTCTTTTATCTAATGCACTGGGGTTGTCTGCAGCCTTTAGTCTGAAATTAAATTAGCATCCAGGTGTGATGGCACATAGTCCTTTGTCCCTGCTACTTGAAAGATTGAGGTGGGAGAATCACGATTTTAAGGCCAACCTGGGCAACGTAGCAAGACACTGTCTTTAAGAAAAAAAAAAGTTGATTACTACATGTCCTACTTTTTCAAGCCACAGAATTGTGGAATTTTCTATCTTAAAGGGATCTAAAATGTCATAAATGTTCCTTTGTTTTAGGGATAAGAGAACTTAGGTCCTGACAGGATAAATAACTCTCCTATAGTTACACAACTCATTAACAGAAATTATGATCTAAAAATGAACTGGTGAACAAGTCTGTGAACCAAGTCTAAAACACATATCATTACCAAGAGCTCTTATTGAATTGTGGGGTTCAGTTGTTCAATGTAACCAAGCATGCATTTTTCTCCATTATATCCACATATACTGTGTTACCTTGACACAGTCTAACAGACCTTAAGCACTATCAGACAGGAAGTAAAGTTGCCTTGGAATGACTTGTTTCTAGTGAACTCTACTGGTCCCTTACAACAAACTACATTTATTTCCAAATAATTGATAAAAATATTTGTATTTAATATTTTCTAATTTGTGATTTTTACAATCATTTAAAAAAATTCCAATGTTTTCCAAATTCCATTCTTTTGACATGTCTTTTTACTTAATAAAACAAAATGAGTAATGTATTTAAACACAAACCTAACTAACCATTTGAAATTTTATGATGTGCCCGAATAACAATGTGTCAACCTATTAAGGAAATCGGGGAGAAAAACCTTTTATTTTAACACTAGATTATGGTGCAAATATGTAACTTTGAATGCTTTTATTGGAAAAAAGAGAAAATGAATAATGAATGAGGGAGTGAATGAATGAACGAACCAAGTCCTTGGAGAACACAAGGAAAAAAAATAACAAGAAAAATATAAATTAGAATACTGAGAAAAAATAATTTAAAATAAGCTGAAAACTGATTATTTGACAAAAATACAGATAAGCACCTAACAAAATTGTATTACAGAAAGTGAAATAAATATTGGCTATATAATATATCTAAAAAATAAGTCTATAAGTAGAAAGGAGATAAACCAGGATGATGTCAAGATTTGGATAACAGGAGATAAGAGGTTGTGGCAAGATGATAATTTTTTTTTTAAGTTTCAGAGATTTTAAAAGTTAAAACAGGTCATGACTCTGGCATTTACAAAGATACTAGAGACATGAGAGTCATGTGAGTTGAGTGAGGGTCAGAAAGCTACACTATATGAAACTAAGAGGGTAGTGAGAGGCTGGGAAGAGGAAGCCTCTTTTCATAGTATCATAGTGTTCCATTTTCATAGATTCAGAAACTGAACAAAAAGAGCCCAACAATGAAGTTAATTTCGAGCTGGGGTATGGTACAGGTATTTTGAAGAGATTCTTGGGTCTTCAGAAAATGCCTCTGTTGCTATTGACTTGACCTGCTAAATGAGGTGGCGCCAAAACTAAGTTCTTGGTATAATTTTAAAACAATTGCTTCTATGTTGCGCTGTTTTTTAATAACAGTAAGTAAACAATAGTAATGAAAGATCTGATTACACAGAATGACTCAACAGATTCAATACTTAATGTCTTGTTAACTCCAAGTTCCCCTGACTATTTGCACCACTATATATTGCACTCTGTCTTTAATCCAGTCTAATCCCTACTGTCCCATCAAATCATCAACAACTGCATTAATTATCACATGATTTAATGGTACACATCACAGACACAGTACTTGTTGGAAGTTGTTCAGTATTTTATGTGAAGAATACTTCTACTTGTATTTCAGATCTAAATTAGTTAACTTTGACATTAAAAACTTGCATGAAAAAAGAAACCATTGACAGCATACTTTCCCTAGAAGTACACAATTTTCAGTTTTTTTTATATCTAGAAAATACAGAGTAACCTTTAATAGTCATTTTGAAAAGAAAACTGCTTCTGGAAGCTCTGGGTATTGGATAAGGGGGAGAAGAGTTAAAAACAACAACAGAAAAATGTTCAAAAAAAGGAAAACAGCGCTCATCTCCTTCTAAGAGCTATTCAGATGAAAAATTACTTGGTATGAGCTTGATCTATATGTTTTTCCGTGGTTATTAGTAGTAATGAAGATGCATTAACCATATTCTCTTGATAATGCTCTAGCTGTTTCTTAGTACTTTTATCAACATATAAATTTTACAACTGGCAATATGGGAATTTGACTAGTACATTTTTGTTTATAAAAAAGGGTAACAACATTATAATTTCTTCATATCTGTGAATTATGAATCTTGACTTGCAAACAAGTAAAACTGAAATGCAACAAAACTGCAGTATCTTGAGAGCTCCTCTTTCTACTACCACTCACAAAAAATGGGAGTACATAATGCCAGGTGAATGCCTACTTAATCCAGAATTTATGTGTTCTTTTTATTTTGTTCATTCTTTTTTCTCAGGAAACATGTATTGAGAGCTTTCCCTGTTGCCAATCTGGAGTATCTGTAAATTGACAGTGGTCTACTTCATTAGGAAGCAACCAAAAACTAGAAAATAAGTGGTGCCTAAGCAATGTGTATCCTTATCTCTATAAGGAAGCATTATTTTTCATAGTTTTCAGAAGGCCATTAAATAACTCAATTCTCTAAAGATGAAACGTAGTACAAAAAGAAACCATTTTAGTTTTCTGCAATTCATTGAGTTATAAATGAATAGATTTTTTTATTCAGAAAGCTGAATCCCAAGTTTTAAATTTGATTTCTCCTATCTCCAAAGTAGTGTAAGCCTCCAGTACCTAGCCCATAACATTAACTAATACCATTAGAGAAAACTTACGGTTCTCTTTGTTGTGAGTATATGGATCCATTCAGATCCAGAGTGATATGTAGACATGTTCAGGATATAGCTGACATATAAAAAAGTAGAATTACTATATGTGTGCTGCCAGATATATCCGAGAGAAGGAAATGATAGTAAAATTCAACTTTAACTGAAATAACATGGATTGTTTTGCACTTTTATGAAAAGAAAAGACATTTCTATTAATGACTTGAGCAGTAAAAATATAAACTTTTGCTGAGCACAGTGGTACACATCTATAATCCAGCTACTTAGGAGGCAGAGGCAAGAGACTCTCAAGTTTCAGCAACTTGACCTGTCTCAAAAAATAGAAAGGGCTGGAGTTGGAGTTCAGTGGTAGAATGTCCTTGGTTCAATTCCTAGTACTGGGGTGGGGTGTAGGAAGTGGAGGGTGTATTGTCATGAAGTTGGGCTACTTCCTACAACTAAAATAATTTGTAATCATAACTAGTCTTCAAGAGTATTACTATGAGGCATACTGCAAGATCATGAATCAATGGAGAAGTAATTGTTCATTTAATAATTATTTGTTCAGTGCCTTCTATTTGCCAGATAGTTATAACACAGATGCTGGCAAACCATAGGACCCAAGAAAGTAAGGTGGAGGAAAGTGGTTAGGAAGTTGATAGCTGCTGAGTGGTAGAGTAAAACAAGAATGAATCTTCAAATCTGCAATACAGAAGTTATTGGTGACCTTGAATGATTTTAGGAAGGTAGCAAAGAGGCCACCACAGAAGCTTAATGGACCAAAGACTTCAGAAGTAGCATATGAAAGTACCTTGAAAAAACATAATTAGAGAAAGAAATGGGATGGTAACTGGATAGGAATGGGGCATGAAAGGAGAAATTGTATACACCTATACACACTCACTATGGTGGCTTCTAATGGAAATAATAGAGTAGAGAAGGGGAAATGATGGTACAGGACAGGAGGCTGTGGAGTAACAATATTAAAAGAGGAGAGGAGATGGAATTCAGCACAAATGGAGAAGTTGCAAAGAACAGAGACTTTTCTTCCTCTGTTACAGGAAAGATTTCAACCGTGGGTAGATGCAGCTACCATTTAACAAACACTTACAGCACCTACAGTGTTCTAGGCCGTGGCAATATAGAAGTATTAACAAAGAAAAATCTTTGCTCTCGCGAAACTTAGATTTAATTGGGGGTTGGAGGAGGTAGACAAATGATAGCAAAATAAATACATAGTATGTCAGATAAGGAAAAGTGCTGTCAAAAAAATAAACCAGAGAAGTGAAGTTACAGGATATGGAATGCTGGGACAGGTGGGTAATTGCAGTTTTAAAGAACTAGACACTTGGCATAACTTTTATGAATTTACTTCATGACGCTCAGAAACATTTGTTTTCAAAATCAGATTAAATGTGGCCTGTTACCCATGTGCCTAGATTTGTGGGATATCCACTCTTAGGCTTATTTCACAGGTGCCCCCTTTTGTAAGCACCCCAGGACATGCCAAGCCCTGCACCTCTCTTTTCTAGTGCGTAGTACAGGTTTCAAATATATACTTATTTATGTGATTTTATTAATATATTTTTTTTCTACTAGACTAGAAGCTGTATCCTCAAAACCTAATAGTGTTGGCATACAATAAGCCCTATTTGTTGAGTGAATAATGAATGAAAAGTAGTAAGATTGTTTGACATAAGCAATGTTTTTAAGAATCTTAGTATTTCATTATTCTATGATCACTTTTTACTTCTTACTTTTTTTTTTCATTATTCTATGATCACTTTTTACTTCTTACTTTATGTAGCTCATCTAGTAAATGGTCTTTTTCAAAGCATGGCAAGTTATGTTTTCATACCAACAGTATAGGTAAAATAAAGTCATCCTCTAATTTATATCACTTTGCTTCATTTTTCTTTTTCAGGACCAATGCCAAAGGTGCTCCCCTGAATATAAATAAAGTTTCTAATAGCCTGATTAATTTTGGAAGAAAGCTGATTTCCCCAGCAATGGCCCCAGGCAGTACAGGTGGTCCTGTACCTGGGAGTAACAGTGGCAACTCCTCCTCTGCTGCTTTCCCCACCAGGACCTCAGCAGAAGCCTTGAGGCATCATTTGCAACCGCAGCAGCAGCAGCAGCAGCAGCAGCAGCGGCTGATGAAATCCGAAAGCATGCCAGTGCAATTGAACAAAGGTAGGAAAAAATTACTAGTAAATCCACAGAAAATACAGGGTAGCCTGGGTTTTCCTCACCAGCCTATGAGGAATCAACCTCCCAGAAGGCGAAAGTAATGCAAAACACTTATTTTTTTAAATCTGTTGCATTTGATCTTTTTCAAGCTGAAATATCTGATACTCTATTTTTCTTAATTGAGAACATTTTATCAGGTAATTTACTAAGATTTTTTTAAACTTGTATATCCTAGTATACTTGCATTTTTGGCCTGTGGATCCCCATACTATGTGATGGTATGAAATGTCACAAGACAGGACTTTAAATAAGTTGACTGTGTTCTCTGCAACTTTATATAGTAATGCTGGCAAAGAGAGTAATGCTGTCTTTCAGAAGAGAGTCTGAAATGAGAAGGTCTAAAACCTTTTCCAGTCATAGCATTGATCAGTGCATTGCAATGGTTTGGAGGAAGCAGTCCACTCAGCTTCTTGCTTCTCATGCAGCAGCTTCACCTCTAAAGAATAAAAACTAGAATCTTAAGGGAAAAAAAAATCTAAACAAAATCTCATGTAACCAAGATAAGCATTTGAATCCATGAACCAAATGTTAGCACCATGGGCTGTAAGAGCAGAGGAAAGCTGGGAGACCATCCAGCCCACAACTCCCATTTGATGAGTGAAGACTTTATGTGCTACTGGCTCTCAACTAAGCTTGCTTCTGTTTCAGGGCCTTTTCTCAGAGCTCCACCTGCCTCTTGCACTTTACTCCTAAGAGATCCCTTCAGGGTCTTTCTTGGGATCTTTATATTCTTGTTTTCTACTTATTTTTAAAGAGATATGTTAGGATCCTGTATTTGTAGCAAATTAGAAACAGCTACCTTTATTTTTAGTGGTGGAACTCTGCTAAAACTATAATACAAAAATAGTGAAATCATGGCAGAAAATATACCAAATAATTAATTCTAAGACCTGAGAAAGTATAACAGTCTGGAGCCATCTAGTGTCAGAAAAAACGCCTTGACCCAAGCCCCATTCATGTCATAAAAGGGATGCCAGGGCTACATCAGTGTTCAGTACTTAGTGTTGACAGTAAAAGGAAGAATATTGTCATTACAAGACCTTGAATTCTGTTCTATCTACTCTGTTTAAGATTACATTTGAAATTATTAAAAATTTTACATATTGGCATTTAAGTTGGAACACTAAAGTTAAATAGACTTTATTCCCCAGTGATGCGAATTAATGAATGTATTAATACTCACATATGGGCATGCTTATCTGTATTCATCCATGGCTTATATGATGTTGTCTGTCTTTTTATGTGTCTTTGCCTATATGAAACATTAGACTTTATATAATTAGTATTTACACTTTTTGTTAGCACATTCAGTTTACCTTACATGAGATTATCTCATTTAAAATTGCACTCTTTTAATGTAGAGCTGTCACACATGATTTAAATAAAAAGGGACTTTGAATCATGTTATAGATGTATTTAATGCCAGGAGATGTGCCCACTTCCAGAATGGAAATGAATGTTATTTTATATATGGAAATGAATGTTATTTTGTATATTTCTTAATTGTACATTTTATTGTTCTAAACAAATATGATTTCAATATTGCTTTGATAACAAGCTTTAGTCAGTTGTAATTCTAACTGATGGCAGGCAAATGAGTCAGAGAATCTGTTAATGCTGTAGCTTAAATTTTCTGAGGAACCAAGCCAAATGATTATAGAAATATAAAGTTGTGTCTCTAAGGAAATGTCAAGTATTAATATCACCGTAAGTGAGAAAGGAAGTGCATGGAGATGGAACAATTGGTGAAAACCAATCCCCAGTTATGAAGAGAAAACAGAGCACTTAAACAAAGTATTTGGAACACGAGTATCACTGGGGCATTTTGTAACTGATCCCTGTCCTGAAAGAAACTGGCTTTATTTTAACTCTTCCATATTTTTACTTATGGTTCATTCTTCTCGTGTCATTCTACCAACAAAAGCTTATCTGCCTTCATATTAAATACAAATAAGTATTCCTGCTAATTCTCCTCCCTGCATAAAGGTTTGAATAAAATAAAGGATAAAAAGACAGTTTATAGAAGTACAAAAGTGTACTTGGATGTTGCTCCTGACTTCACTCCTGGAGAACCCTAGACTACAATGGAAGCCCTCTGTTTCCTCATCCTGAAGCAAGGTTTGGACTGATTCCTAGGAGTCCCCCAGCTCTAAAAATTTGTGGTTCTTTTAGTAAAAAATGTATTTGTTAACTCTACAATGAAAATACTTCAATATTAATTCTTTATGCTGATAAGTCCCACAAATATTCTTCTATGCTGTCTCTCTGACACATCTGCAAGTGTATCACCTGAAATCAGTGAACACAGTAGCCTGCCAGGAGGCTTGTGTTAGGGGATGATTTCTGACTTTCTAGAGCAAAGTTGTCTACTCAGTGCCCTTGAGAGAAGATAATTTAGTGTACTATCCTGGAAATTTTGAAAATTGTTTTGAAAAATTATTGTTTATAAAGATGAAAATGGTTTTGTTTTTCATAAGTTAACAAATACTTGTGGTTATAGGGGGGACAGTTGTGTTTGTAATCCAAATTCACACGTGTTGTTTGAAATGCATTATGTAATACATGTATGTGTTGTGATAGAATAGTGAGGAAAGAAGAGTTAGCACAGATGTTCTCCATAATTTTATTAGTGATATGAGTTTTCAACCTCTACATATAGATCAATAGATGATCTAGAATTAGCCAACTAAATCTCCTCCAAGTATACAGAAAGCAGGCCTACCATTGTTCAGTGAATTTAGAATTAACTATTATGAAAATTCAGGACCTGACCATTTCCACTAGAAGCTGTTTGCCACAGTTTGGGGTATATTCTTTTTTAGAAATTTTATTTCAGTTATAGGGGAATGTAAGTGTGTGTACTGTTAATTACTTGGTGATGATAATATAATTACAACCCAACAATTTCCAGATGAATTGACTATGTTATAAATCATAATTGCAGCAAGAAGCCAGTGACACTGAGGGCATGTTACTTAATTCAAAATTTGATTTTTTACCTACTGTATATATTTTATATAAAAGCTGAAGGAGAAGCAAGTCCATTAATCATAAATTATCATACATGGAAAATATATGCCTTTTTAAAAGTCTCTGTTGCTCATTAATCTCAAAATACCATAGGTGATGATATATCCAGAGGAGCATTCTGTTGACAGTGACTGTGCTCCTTATTGAACTTTGTTATCCAGGAAGGAAATCAAAGAACCACAGAGTCTTCCTTCTAAATATTAGTGAACCTTAGGTTCTTCACAGAATTTTCTGTTGGTGCTCCCTTTCCTTTCTTTTGTGTGTTCTTAAAATGCACTCTTTTTTTCTTTTCCTTCCTCTTTCCTTTGTCTGTATTTGTACTTGGTTTTTTGAATTTGAGCACTACTTTATTTTAAGCATTTACTACAGGTCCAATTTGTAAATGAAATCTTGCCTATAATTATATCAAGTGAAGGGTATGCAGTTCACAGATTTATTTTTAAACATTGACATTTGTAAGTACATGTGGCAACTCTTTTCATTACCTAATATGAAGTTAGAACTTATTTAGACTTTATCACTGAAGTTGTTTTAAAGTTAAGTTAAAAATAAATTTTGTCTGATATAGAAAGAAATCAATTTCAAAAAAAAAAGGTCTGTGAATAAATGACATATAAACTTTCAGATTCAATGTTTTTTTAAAAAAAGAATGTATATATAATCACAATGAACTCTGCGTAGCAAAATCTTTTGATTGTGAAAGTTTCCTGTATTATAGTCTATTATAATAGACTTTTTCACTTTTCTTTTGGGAAATACAAACAAAAACTTATTACGAAACACTCTTTTAAAAATTTGTTTCCTGCCGGGCATGGTGACACATGCCTGTAATTCCAACAATTTGGGAGCTAAGGCAGGAGGATCCAGAGTTCAAAGCCAGCCTCAGCAACTTAATGAGGCCTGAGCAATTCAGCGAGACCCTGTCTCTAAATAAAATATTTTTCTTAGAAAGGACTGGTGATGTGGCTCAATGGTTAAGTGCCCCTGGGTTCAATCCCTGGTACCAAAACAAAACAAAAAAATGTATTTCCTTAAACTGGGCATGGTTGGTGCACACCCTGATTCCAGCTACTCTGGAAGCTGATGCAGGAGGGTTCTGAGTTCAGGACCTCTCTGGGCAACTTAGTTAAATCCTGTCTCAAGATAAAAATAAAAAAACACTGGAATGAATCTCAGTGAAAAAGCACTCTTGGGTTTAGTCCCTAGTACTATTTTTTCCTTGAAAATATTTTATATTAATTTTTCTAAGCTTGTGCTATATTTTTAGTAATTGATAAAATATTACAACATTGAGTATGAAAGAAAAGTTTCTTATTTCTTCTCTATGGAATCTAATTATTTTTTCTTATGAAATCCAGGCGATATAGTTACAGGAAGCGATGCTCAGGTTTCTGTTCCTGTCCAGACTCTAACTGACCTCCAAGGTACAGTTACCATAGCAACATTTTGTGTGTGTCTGTCTGTCTGTATCTCTCTCTCTCTCTCTCTCTCTCTCTCTCTCTCTCCCCCCTCTCTCCCCCTCTCTCTCCCTCTCTGTCTCCCTTCCTCCCCCTACAGTATTATCATTCCCTACTCCAAAACTCAATTTTTCCCCTGTCCACAGTTTGTTCATGTTTATCGGTCCACTGTCATTGTTTAACCACTGAGTGGCACTGTTGTGTAGAACAAAAGTCCCCTTTCCTGTCCCATAGCTTGTTGATGTTGAAACAGACTCTGATGTGAGTTTTCTATTGAAGTGTACACAAGCCTCTTTATTTGAAAAATATGAGTCCATCTGTATGTTTTGGTTATTTTAACATTATACTTTGTAGAGAAGCTGATATCAAGGTGTTCTTATTGCTGCAAAGGTACTTGGTGACAGTATTTGACAAACTAGTTTTGAGATGTTCTATGATTAGCCTGAGATACTTACATTTTACATAAAAGAATTACAACGTGTTTTTGTAAATGTTTTTAAGTATAGCCTTTATATAATGAATTGTATTAACACAAAATATGGTATGGCAAATTTTTTTATATACACTACTTAGCAACAGTTTAACATAAAAAAAGAGAACATTCGCCATCATATCCGTTTGTGCAATATGAAGAAAAAACAGTTGATGAAATTGGTAATCCCATTTTCAGCACTTCCTGTTAGATTTTAAAACATTAAAATATTTAAGGTTGCTGCATTAATCTTTTATTATGTAGTCTTGTAGATGAAATATGTCATAGAGAGGGTTTCTTTGTTAAGTGGATACCTATACTAACTAAAAGAATCTTCCCTTCAAATTCAGACTAAGATAATAGCAATACAGTATTAATAGTCTTATGTTTTGCTTAATTTAAAACATTCACATAAGATAGTCATGCTAATAGTATTAAAATACTGTTCTGATAGTGATATGTCTGCATAATATCCATTTTAATAAATTAACAGCAAAGAATGGATTGGGATTAAGAAATAATTGATGTATTGGCTTGGATTTAAAAAAACTATACTGTGGCAATAAAACAGTATGCTTTCACTTCTATATATAGTTCTCTGATTGACAGATAGTTTCTGGCTGTATTTTGGTAATTGAACCAGATGACCTTTAAGAGCTAGCTCAGGGATTCCATGAAGAGCTGTTGACTCTTCTTGGTGTCTGCTAAAGTGAATTTTTTTTATAATGTAAATTTTTTTATTTATATGACAGCAGAATGCATTACAAGTTTTATTACAAATATAGAGCACTATTTTTCATATATCTTGGTGTATATATAGTATATTCACACCAATTCATGTCTTCATACATGTACTTCGGATAGTAATGTCCATCATATTCCACCATCATTAATTACTCCATGCCCCCTCCCTTCCCCTCAAATGCCTCTGCCCTATCTAGAGTTCATCTATTCTTCCCATGCTTCTGCTCCCTATCCCATTATGAATCAACCTCCTTATATCAAAGAAAACATTCAGCATTTGGTTTTTTTGGATTGGCTATCTGCTAAAGTGATCTTGATGATAAAAGGTTATGATGATAAAAGGTTACTAGCATGAACAGTAGAAAAGAGAGATAATGTCCATATGATTTATCTTTAGCCTTGTCAATTATGGTTCTTAGGTAGATATTAATTTGATCATCTGATATGGAGAAAATTCACAAGAGTTAAATTCATTTCCTACAATTAAATTCTGAACCCCCAAAGACAACTTTTTTATCATGTGTTTTATTATCCCACAGTTAATTGCTACAGAGAAGGTTTTTGGTTTCTCTACAAGATGTGGGCTTTGAAGTCAGTTTATACCTGTGGACAGAGGAAGCTGAGGGTTGGCTTGCTTATTCTGATTTCTGCTTCTATGCTATTGTTCATTTCATTTTTTCCTGCAGACCAGAGCCACATAAGCAATATTATGTTTCAAAAACAATATATTGAAGAAGAATGTTATATCATTTTGTTCAAATAACTTGTGTTATATAAGTAGAATCATTTCATGCATATATCCAACAAGTATTTTCTAAGTACCTACTACATGCCAAGCTCTGTTTTCATTAGCCCCTTGGCTTCCTACAGCTTCAACCAGCTGTCTTGGGCTATTACCTTTGCTTTAGATGACCCCCGTCAAGCCTATAGGCAAAAACCATCTCTTTTTTGCTGAATACGTGTTCCAAATCCCCTCTGCCTGCACACTCTGACAGAGATCATATCAGCATGATAGGGACAATTCCAGCTACTTCATGAGTCCCAAATAAAGAGTTCTCAATCTGTGATGATGAGTGACAGAACTGAGAGAGTGAGGTGACACTCATCCTGATTTGGATGCATATTTCCTTATGCTCAATATACTTCCTGAAGAGTGCCAAAAAGTGAGAGGAAATAGAAACCAAAACAGTTTATGGCCCCAACAAAAATCAACTATCTATACTGAATAGCATCAATAATATTAAAAGTTGGAAAATTTCATCAGGAATGCCAAACCTGTTACATAGTCCCTTATGTGTAGAGTAGATACTTTACTATAATTTCAGGGAAATTTAGCCTAAATAATAGGCTTTCCCAAACTGTCTTTTTTCAAAGTAATAAAATATATTTGAAGAAATAAGTATCAATACTTAACAGAGGTTCTTTGATTGTAGTCTTTTTTTTTTTTTCTTTTGGCAGGGTGGGGGATAGTTTACCAGGGATTGAACTCAGGGCACTTGACCACTGAGCCACATCTCTAGCCCTATTTTGTGTTTTACTAGAGACAGGGTCTCACTGAGTTGCTTAGTAACTTGCTTCCTAAATTGCTGAGGCTGGCTTTGAACTTGCGATCCTCTGGCCTCTGCCTCACAAGCCACTGGGATTACAAGCATGCACCATCACGCCTGGTCTGATTATAGTCTTAATGAAATTTGATATTGGGACCTTTGCCTTTTAATATACAATGGTTATTGGGTTATAATTTTTTAGGGAAAAAGTGTAAAGTGAGATTTCACAGTGTAGGTCAATAAGTAATTTTTAGAAAAGTATTGGAAAATTTCATTTTATATCCTGAAATGTAAGTTACAGTTACACACACGCGCACGTGCGTGCGCACAACCATGACAGAATTTGTTTTTTTGATACTAACTACTTGGGGTTTTATTAAAATTAGTTTAAATTTCTTAAGTAATTACCATAGCAATGTTATATTTTTTAAAAAATTTTTGAATTTATACTTATATGTATGTATTTATCTTATGGGTGTGATGCACAGAGAGGTATCAATATTGTACTTGTCACGTTGCTTTTAATACAAAAAAGGGGGAAAGGGTTGGGGTTGTGGCTCAGCGGTAGAGTACTCGCCTAGAGCGTGCGAGGCGCTGGGTTTGATCCTCAGCATCAGATAAAAATAAATAAATAAAATAAAAGTATTGTGTCCAACTACAACTAAAAAAATGTGGGAGGTGGGGGGGTCAGTCTCCCTCTCCAGGTAACCACTGTTGATATTCTTAAGGTAAAACTAAAAATGCATACAACATTAAGCAAGCCCAATTAATTGAAGATATTAAAGAAGGGGAAGGAAGGGCCCTCCACTTTCTCCTCTTACCTCTTTCTGCCAGCCCACTTCCCCAAGGGTAACCATTGCTAAGTTTCTTATGATTCCTTCCAGTGGGGGGCGGTGACTGAAATTGAGGAGTAACATGGGAGTCACATTAATTTGGTAAGAGCTCACTGGCCTGAATATGACTTCCCCTATGGTAAGATCTCACTTGCCTGAATATGACTTCCCCTTTGGACTATCAAGATAAAATGTAATAGAAATGTTCCAGTATAGATAATAAGCAGAAATTTGATAGGACAAGAAAAGGGAGGCCAAGTCAACAGGAATAGGACACAGTAAGACAAGAAAGAGACAGTTCTGTTCACAGGAGTGAAGGAAGAGACCAGCAACAGCAACAGCAACGTTCCTTCTGGGGGACACTCTGCTAGCTACTCTGATAGGTATGACAAGTAATGGTCCTGAAGCAGAACGTATGGTTCCATTGTGTTTGGTATAATCACTTTAAGGCAGAGGAATGTGTTATATGTAAAATGACTTCTGGGAAGCATGAATTAGCTAGAAAATGCATTTTTATGGAATATCTATTCCAAATACATGGAATAGTGAGTTGCTTTTGGACTGAGAACAAGGTCAGAATTTGGTCTGTACTTTCAAAAGTCCTCATTCCATTCTTTAATTTTAGATCATATTTGCCACAGCCCACTTGGCACTGTCCTTTCTAGGGTAGTGTAGCTTTGTCTAGGATGGGTTTGAGTTTGAATCCTGGCTCCATCACTGCCTTGTCAAGCATCCTGGGAAGGTTGCTTAACCTCTTATTGGTAAAGAGGGAATAAGAGCAACTACTTAAGGTTTGTTGCGGGACCTTATTCCCAGCACTTGTCCCATAATAAGGGTTCTAGGCTGCTACCTGCTTAGGTAGTAGGTGTAATGGTAGCACCATTATGTGTTTTATGTTTTCTCTGGTTTTGGGAATTAAATTATGAAGGAACCCAACCAACACCTCTGTCTTTTCTTAATTATTGTTTCTGGTATTCTAAAAATATGTGTTTGCTTATGAGTCCCCTTAATTTTAGAAAATATCCAAGGCAACTACAAATTTTTTAAGATTTGTTAGATATAATTACATCATTTTGGAAGAAAATGGAAAAAAAATTATAATAGTTCACAAAATTGAAACTTTTGCCAAGGGTAAACAAAATTTAAATGAATCTACCTGGAATTTTAGATTAACTCAGTACTTGAACTATAATGTCAAATATTGAGAGTCTAGAGATCATGAGTAGAGTACAGTAGTCAAAGGAGTAATGAAGAGAATTTCCCAGAGCTGAAGGAAGATATTGGCATGGAGTTAAAAAAAAAAAAAAATCTGACAAGTAAGATAAAAGTTAAAAAGACCCTTCTCTAGGAGCTCCACAGAAAACTTATAGA